CATTGTAATGGGAGACATTAAACAGATAGTGAGGCTCCTTCTGCTTATCAGGGATGTAAATCCTTAGGTGACGGCCAAGCAGAACACAAGGTCATAATTCTCTCTGTGAGGGAGGAGGTTTAGCCCCCCATGAGAGGGGCCAACATGAAAGAGTTTGAGGAATGTTCTTTGTCTGTGTCTCTGTATGTAAGATGTAAGGCCGGTGGCCACAATTCAGAGATAGTCCTGGTGTTTCACTGGGATGCTCTCTCCACATTGCAATGTGTTTATTAAACCCACTTCAAATCAAGTTCACTGAGTGTGTTGCAGGTTATTGTTAAAATTTCCATAACACATTCAACATCAGAAACTTAATTCTTCAAACCATTTATTCAAGTGGCTCTGCCACAGAAGCCAAGTGCATACAACTGCATTTCACAAACAACAAACAAACAACAACAACAAAAACTGATGTTGTGTGAAATGTGAATAAAAACAGAATCCAATGATTTGCAAATCTCAGAAACCCATATTTTAGAGCATAGAAAACATATCAGATGTTTAAGCTGAGAACTTTAAGAAAGATATTAGGTCATATTGAATTTGATGGTAGTAATATATCACAAATTTTGAAGGGCACAAAGAAAGGATGGAAAAGTGAGACTACAAAGAAACAGCTGCAGGAACATTTTTCAAATTATGAAGACTATGTCGTCATCTACATCAAAATATTTAGTGAATCTGGAGTGTGTGAATCTCTGTGTGCAAGGGAAAAGAACACATTTCATTATTGTATGCCCATGATCTTCAGGCTTTAGGCACCACTGCATTAAAAAAGGCTTTATTTTGTCATAGAAATCACTGCACTGCCCTTCCAGAAGTGTACTACTCACAAATGCAGGTTGAAGCTTGATCATCCAAAGAAGCAGCCATGTGTGAACACTATCCAGAAATGTCACCATCTATTAAAAAAGCTCATTAAAAATGGATTGAGGGAAAGTGGAAAACTCTGGTCAGACAAATCAAAAGTCAAAATTCTTTTTGAAAAACACGGATGCTCCATCCTCTGTACTAAAAAGGTGGGGGCCATCCAGCTTGTTTTCTTGTTGCTTGTAATCACCTGCTCATTCTTACTCAGTCTCTTTTCACTTCTCCTTGTCACCTGCTCTGTGCACCCACAGAAAACACACTCACCTGGAAACTAGCTCAACTGTCGTCTGTGGAAACCTCCAGCTCTACCTGCTTGCATCTGCCATCTCCGCTAACTCTTAGATACCCACCAGTTGCCCACAAACTACCTCCATTCACTCCTAACTCAAGCGAAACTGTTAATAACCACCTGGATTTCTCACATGAATCACATTCCTGTTTAAGACTCCAGTTAAGCTCTTTGTCTCGTCTCTGATGGAACTCCCATGTTCAAGCATGTAGTGCTGTTGAATCTCCAAGCCAAATGCCCTCTATCCGTAAACCAATCACTCCTTAACAATAAACACTCCAAACCTGCCAGCTGCTGTCGGAGTTTGTTCTCGGGGACTGCTTTTTGCCAAAAGAAAAATCCCCCACAGCTTCCAAGTAGAAGAGTCCGGGTGCTCAGCTGGCCTTCCTGCAGTCCAGACCTCTCAGCAATTGAAAACATTTAGAGCATCACAAAATGAAAAATGCGATAAAGAGCACCCAGGACTACTGAGTAGCTGCGGGACAGGATTCCTCTTACAAATGTCCAGCAAATTCTGTTTTATGGACTGTTGTTTAAAGAGGGAGTAGTACAGACTGGTAAACATGGCCCCATCCCAACTTTTTGACACACGTTGCTGCCAGCAAATTCAAAATGAGCTAAGAAGTTTTTATAACACATTGTGGAAACAATACTGGAATCCATATTACAAGAGCTAATAGTTTCTGTAGTACCTTTTACAGTTTTCTGACAGGCAGCCTATCCTGGGTATCAGTCTATCACAGAGCTGAGAGCTGGGATAGGCTCCTCTAACTCTTTTCTCAGTGCCTGCAGAAATCCCTCTAAAACCAGAAAATCGGCTGATCCGACTTATGATCAGATAATTGTAATCTGTGAAGGACAGAAAGAAAGTGATACGGTTTCTCATCACTGGTTGGCTGCACTGCCCAAACTAATAAGAATTAAAATCTAACGAGAAGTCAGAGAAGCTCATAAAGTCATAAACAGGACAAATTAATTTGGGGTTTTTTAAACGATATTAAGCAGCCATGAATTTTATTTATTATCAGAGTAGGCTCCTTTAATTAGATTCATCACAAACACAGGTGGGATTAAGAAGGATTTAGCTTCTTGAAGCGAGTGTTGTTGTGATTTGGTGCTATATAAATAAAATTAAACTGAATCAGCAGTGGTTGGCATAGCTTGACATCAACTTTGTTTTAAAATAGGTTCAAACGTGTTAATATATTTTTTCCTCCACTCAGGAACTGTTTTGTAAGAAATTAAACAATCATAAATAGCCTACTGCATGGCAGCCACATGTAGTTACCTATTAGTAATGTTGATTGGTTCATTGCTCTTATGTCTGGTTAATAAATAGAACTAAACAAATGTTATTTTAATCTTAATATTATTTTATTTGTTGTTTTACATAAAACCCTCAATATTTCTTTATTCTAAGCTTTCTGTTGGATGATGGTGGAAAAATACTGGGTTTAAAAAGCTGAAGGTTTCCTTAAAAGTTGACTTTGTATTTATAACCTGAACTCTGGTCAGGTTGCTGAAACCCCAAATCCCCAGAAACATTACTCAATACATGAAGTCGTGTTCTTTCAGAAGTACAGCTCTGGAATTAAGTGAGCCATTCCTAAATTGATTCCCACATGAATATCAGGGAACAAAATCTGAAGACCAAAAAAAAGAAAAAGAGTCCCGAATTAGACAGATGAATAGGCTAACAGTCGGTTTCTTTATCCTTTTCTTTAAATGAATTACTATCATTAAGATTGACATGACAAGTCTGTCCATGAAATTTAGCTGCCATCTGTGCTCTGTCATAGCAATGAGTGTAGCATCTCTTGGTGCAACACTTCTCAGTCTTGCGCCGCTGAATCACGAACATATCACTGCAAAACACATTTAGAAAGGAAGCTGACCTTTTTGAAAAGGGCACTCAGCCATAAGCTCACAGAAGCCTTGTGGCCACAGAAGTAAACCTGTTTCTACTATTAAAGTCAGAGCTGAAAGGAAACAGTTTTTATAATGTCACAACCAAACAGTGTGGAACCAAAGAAATGTAACATCATCAAGAGTCTTCATATACAACTATAACATTTGTAGCATCATAAATGATTTTCAAATATGTAAATAGGACATGATGTTAGTTAACTTATTTAAACTTGCAAATGTGCTAATACACCAAACATATCTGCCCATGCATATGAATTTAAATCAAGTGCAGAATTATTCACTGCATTAATGATTATGTTTAAACACTTACAAACCAAAGCAGTCTTTAACTGGTCTTAGTCAGAGTGCTTTTGCTGTCTAAACATAAAAATATATATGTATATGAACAGGATTCAGCATCTGAACCATGGACTACGGTGATTACGTCCACCATTCACCCTAAACATCACTGTGGCACTTCATTCTATCAAAACTGCGGAAATACTTGTATTATAAAAAAACAAGTTTTCCAAGAAATTCCCACTGTTCAGCCATCAATGGAATTTTTAATCACAATCAACAAAACACTTTAGCAGGATAAGAGAAGGATACTGGGTTGAGCTTGTCAGACTTAGCCAAAGTGATAAAACTGTTCTTTCACAAAAATAGCATTAATACTCCCTTTTTTAATCACTTAACACACAGATGAATTAAGCTTTCAAGTTCTTCTTACTGTGCAATTTGTGTTGAATAAAGTGTTTGCAAGTAACAATTTTACAGCAGTGACTTTGAGTACCAGTAATGATCATGTTGAAAAGCTTTACTCTGGAGCCTTTGGCACATTTGTTCAATGATCTTTTGTCATTTTTGAAGCTATGTGAAACTGTAATGAGACAAGTGGGGACATTATCTCGATTAAAATCAATTCCTATTGGATTATGCCATGCTACATTCCCCTGCGCGGCTCACATAATTAGAATAAAGCACAGAAACGGAAATCAGAAGTGAGAAGCCTCATCAAAGCGGTACATGTGCAGGCATGGGTGACTTGACACATAATCACGAGTGTTCTCTTTGTGTCCTCAGACAATGCTGTGAGCATTGTATTATCCTGCAGGTACTGCAGAAGCAAAGACTATCACTGTAATGCTTCACTTTGAAACAAATGTGGTGACAGACAAAGTAAATGTCCTGCAAATTGCTGCTCATAGAAACTGATACCAAAGCTGAAG